GGCAATAATGCTGTAGGCCCGTGTGCTCAGATGGTCCACGCTAAAGAACCACAGGTGGCCTAAATTTCCGGAGCCCTCCACTATGGCGTCTCGCATAACTATATGGTGGTTTTGGGACGTTAAACACCACATATCAATCTATCATATTCGCGTGCATCGCCTGCTGTCATGTTTAAAAAATGTTATAATGAGAGTTTCTGTACAAATTTCTCAGTAATATCAGAGGTGTTTTTGGAGGCACACTTTATTACACAGTTTTGCTTGAATTTATTCTGCCACGAAACTTGTTCAGCTCACCGAAAAGCATGAAGTAGATTTGCGATGAGTGAAGGAAAGGCACGAGGCACTTTCCAAATGTAGAAGCATGGTGACGGTGCACGAGGAGAAAAAAGTCACCTGAGAGCATGAGCCCCAGTCACATAGACCCAGGAGTGTGGTCGGAAAAAGGCTTATGGCATGCTACCTGAGCGGAGCAGAGAAATTCTAGAGGATGAGCTGGCCCTGTGCGTTGGGGCTTTGAGCTGCAAAGATGTGGAAAATGAGTGTCGCTACGGTGACAGGAGCAGCATAACCACCTAGCTCTGGAAGATGTAAGCGTAAACAGGCTTGGGCAGTGGCAGTCGTCATAAAAAATGCTCCCGAGTCAGGCTGCCCGCACTCGCCGCATTCTGCCCAGCAGTTCCTAGTGGAGTTGCAGCTATCCCACTTTACGCTAGGAAGGGAGCAGCCCACACCAGTCAGCTGAGTGCACACGTCAGCAGGGGAGTCCCTGACGAGCTGGGCCTAGCGGGGTTGAATTGAGATGAGGACTGGGACACAGGCAATAAGGACAAGTGGTTTGTGAGACAGGAGCAATCAACGGAGACCTGAAAAAGTGGTGGAGCCCGTCAATGACGGAGGACTCGACTAGACGTCAACACAGCAAAGGACGTTGCAAGGCGGCGAAATGCAACAACATTCCATTGACCTCATATTGGCTAGCGGCTAGGGGTAGCAATGGATTGGACTGAGCTAGTCATTTTGGGTTTGCCTATTGTGACGAGCGATAGCAGACGATGCTCAGTGCATGTCTCGCGCCTTCGCGTGAGGAAAACGAAGTAGATCGGCACCGAGCTCGCATGCGCTCGAGCAGCTTCGAATAAAGAAAAGGGTCTGGCAGTCCCTTCTTGTTTTCAAATGTGTGTGGACGTTATTCTTAGGCCACCTCGGAACTCAGTTAATCAGACGGCTACAACGAGACGTCACATTTGGCACCCAATAGCTCAGAGGGAACTAAAAAGACAGTTACAGGTCGGCTGTGTCCGAGAGACTGAGTGGGATCAGCTCCGGTGCTAATTGGAGGGTCTGAAATTGAGGCTTCTTAAGGACCACAGCGCTGCTAAAGAGGACAACACACCGAAGCCACATCTTGACTCGCAGCTGAAGGCAAGTCATGACTTCTTTTGCAACTTGCTTGCTCCACTAGTAGAACACATCGAGCGTTTGGAGTTATTAACGTATGAAGATTCTGATGCCGAATCAAGCGCGAGTGCAGATAAGAGCAGTACAACGATGAATCTCAAAAGTGGCTCGAGAAACCAACAAAGACAAACCAGAAGCGATAATCCCGTGTGCAGGTCTAACAGTGAAGAGGCTCGCAACCGTCTTTCAAGTTTCGCAGCATTAGCACATCTCGGGGGAAGGACCTAAATGTCTGGTTTCACCAAATTGAATATTGGTTCAGAACCTTTAGCGATCCTGATGAGGTCACCGTACCGGACATTGTTTTTATGCTTTCAGGAAAAGGTTTTACATGGATGCGTCACCACACGAAGGTAGCTGATATGAGTACTTGGTCTGACATGAAGGCAGCGTTCCGCTGACGTTATAACATGGACTCCAACGTAACATCTAAGTAGCGAATGTTCGGCGCAATGCAACGCGCAGGCGAGTCTTGTACAGACTTTGCATACTGAAAGCTGCTTCTGATGATCGGGAAAAGTACCAAGTTATCATGGCTACACTGTCACCCTAGGCAAAGAAGCACGCTTTTGATAAGACGTCTAAGTGGCTAGATGATATAATAAGTTCCTTTCTGCGCTTTGACCAAATCAGAGATTCAGAGGAAAGCATTCAAAAAGAGAACACGGAACGCCATCCACAACGCTGTCCGCCAAATGAACGCAAAGCGTTCATCTCAGGAGCCCATGCAACATTGTCCAGGCGCCGACAGCATAGAGTCTAGCGGCTCCTCAGATAATGAGGTAGCTCAGATAAAGTTGCCAAAAAAAAAGGGTATACAAAGCAAAGCCACCACTGCCACGGCAATCGACTCATTCCGCAACTTGTGTTTTTAAATGGTCTCAAGGAAACGCCCCGAGAATTAGTAAACTGTGCTTGAACTGCTCTAGCAGTGGTCAGTTTGTTGTGCGGTGTCGTCTAGGGCTAGCTGCAGAATTAGATTTCGAATCTTGCAGCCCACAACAGCAGGGAAACGGAACAGCTGGTGACGGTGATGCCGCGAGCAGTCGCCACTAATTCAGCAGGTGTATAATTTTCCTATTCTTGTCACCATCAACGGACAAATGATTAAAGGCATCTTGTTCTCTGGAGCTGTTAAAAGCTTGATTACAGCACCAAAAGTTGACGAACTCGAACTAAGCATAAGGCCTTCATAAACCCAGCAATATAATCTGTACTGCCCCTCTTTCTTCTTTAGGTCATATGGAACAGTGCGAGCCTCTAGCGTTCTACGTCACAGCATTGTGTACCACATTATATCTGCTGATAACCGTACAGGTATACTTAAAATGCTCTACAGCATGACACCATTATTTTTGCAACATCTAGTAACATACCCTCTGCAGGGAAACTCTTTTATATGAGACACTGATGTAAGGACAAATGGGCATAAGAGGCACCAGGGTGCCTGCACTGAAATAGGTGTTGATTAAAAAATGGATACAGGGTAGGTACCCTGCTCATAGAAGACACCTCATGCAAGAGACGAGAATTGCTCCCTAGTGCATGTCTCTTATTATAAAGGTGTTCACCTATAAACATGAGTGCATTGCATTTTTCGCTGGCATGTTTTCCTCTGGTGAAAAGTGACAGTGAAGTTTTATCTTTGGGGAATTTGTGAGGACATGCTTGTCACTCATTTCGTGATGTTATTAAATGCTGTAAATTTTCTCTGTCCCCCGGTACCGCAATACCAAGTGTAATCACCATCATATGATGACAGAGCTGGTACATAGCCATCACAGAACACAAATGGGGGTAGTTGTGGCAGAGTAGAAGGAGAGCACTAATAAAAAGAAGTTGTATATGAAAAATTTAGCACACATGAAAGACTCAAGGGACAAGAGCTTGTCCCTTGTGTGCTTTGCTTGTGTGCTTAGCTCATTTTTTCTCAGTGTGCACCAACTAGGCCCTCAAAAGTCCTATTGTAAGGAGACTCCCTGCAGTGATTTCAAATCGCTGCTACAGGTCTTGTAAGGCGCCTAAAACTGTCCCGGACAATTGAGCTAAGTGCTCCTCCTTAAAATATTACTTCATGCTGACATTCCCATCGGGAGGATGACAGGAGCTTGCCCATTGTGTGCTATTGAACACTTAGCTTTGAGGTAAGGGATGGATGGCAGATCATGGAGAAGCCTGCCCGCTTCTGTGCTGGACCCAATTATAGCTTTTGCTGCACTACAGAAATTCGGTGAGCGTATGACACAGAGGAAGGCATGTGCCACTAGGGAGGGCGGGGTGTATCTATGACAAGCGAGAAACTCAGTGGCCAAATAAGCATTCACCATGCACCTGTAACTTTACAACTATGTCATTCTAAAGCAAAAGGGTAGTCATTGTAAGCTTGTTCATAGTGGCTACATCATCATCATCATCAGCCTGGCTCCGTCCACTGCAGGACAAAGGCCTCTCCCATGTTCTGGCAGTTAACTCGGTCCTGTGCTTGCTGCTGCCATTTATACCCGCAAACTTCTTAATTTCATCTGCCCACCTAACCTTCTGTCTCCCCCTGACCCGCTTTCCTTCTCTAGGAATCCAGTTAATTACTCTTAATGACTAGAGGTTATCCTGTCTACGCGCTACATGCCTGGCCCATGTCCATTTCCTCTTCTTTATTTCAACTATGATATCCTTAACCCCCGTTTGTCCCCTAATCCACTCCGCTCTCTTTTTGTCTCTCAAGGTTACACCTACCATTTTTCTTTCCATTGCTCGCTGCGTCGTCCTCAATTTAAGCTGAGCCCTCTTTGTGAGTCTCCAGGTTTCTGCTCCGTAGCTAAGTACCGGCAAGATACAGCTGTTATATACCCTCCTCTTAAGGGATAACGGCAATCTACCTGTCATAATTTGAGAGTGCTTGCCGAATGTGCTCCACCCCATTCTTATTCTTCTAGTTACTTCAATCTCGTGGTTAGGCTCTGCGGTTATTACCTGCCCTAAGTAGACATAGTCTTTTACAACTTCAAGTGCACTATTACCTATCACGAAGCGCTGTTTTTTTTTCCAAGGTTGTTGTACATTACTTTCGTTTTCTGCAGATTAATTTTAAGACCCACCTTTCTGCTCTCCCTGTGTAACTCCGTAATCATGAGTTGCAATTCGTCCCCCGAGTTACTCAGCAATGCAATGTCATCGGGGAAGCGCAGGTTACTAAGGTATTCTCCATTAACTCTTATCCCTAACTGTTCCCATTCTAGGCTTCTGAAAACCTCCTGTAAGCACGCGGTAAATAGCATTGGGGAGACTGTGTCCCCCTGCCTTACACCCTTCTTGATTGGTATTCTGTTGCTTTCTTCATGAAGCTCTATGGTAGCATATGCTACCATAGTGGCTACAATGCACAAATTTTTTTAGTGTAGCTGGAAGGGTTCGCATTTCATCGTCTTCCTCATCTAAACTGGTTGGTAAGGGATGCCTTATTGCTGCCCGCTTAATCGGCCACTCTTGCAGAGAGTCAGAGTGGCAGAAAAGATTGATGTGGGTGGTGGGATGATGTGCAGGTTTATGATAGAGTGCGACCGATGCAAGGACTGGTTTCACGGGACTTGTGTGGGTGTCACACGGCAGCAGGGACGGCTCCTCGAGAAAGAAAACAAGGAGTGGGTCTGCCCCAAGTGCTCCAAGGGTGAGTTGTGCTGTCACTGCTACTTGTTCACAGGAATGGCCTGAAGCAGGGTGCTGTGGCTGATAGGCCTGCAAAGTTATATCGACTTCATTTGTAACTACATATACATACCTCCCCACACATGCACTTATTAACATGCACTCTTATGAGATTCAGTGAGACCTCGGATGTAGTGGCCAGGAACGCAGCACAACTATGTGATAAATAGTACGGTGAATCAATCATCATGTACAGTTTTGCATCTCCTGATGACCATGGTACCAACATAGAAAGAAGCACTGTGCTGTAGGAAATGTTTTAATAAAGTAAATACAAAGCTCTTGCTTTGTTTTGATAAATTGCAGAAAAGATTTTGGCTCTCTCATGCGATCATATAATAGGGCACGATTGTGAAACGGGAAACATTTCTAAACTATTACAGGGTCATAGATAGTTATAACAGACAGTATTATCTCTTTAGTGTGTGTGTGTGTGTGTGTGCGGATGCACGTGTGTGTGTGTCAGGGTTCATGCGAGTCCTTGAAACCCTTAAATTTGAAAAGTTCATGTTTAAAGCCTTGAAAGTACTGGAATTCTGCAAATCCTTGAATGTGCATTTCTTTTAAATAAATATTTTTGCACATATCACAGTGCATTTTTTTGCAATGCTGTAATTGTAGCAGGAGGCATAAGTAACCTGCCCATCACAAAAGTTTTGAGAGCATCAGTAGCTTCTGCATGGAACCAACACCATGCATTTCTGGAATTTCAGAAAAGGCAGCAGCAAGAGGATGAGAAACGGAAAAGTAAATGTTGCGTTCAAGAGGAGGCCGAAATGCGTGCAAGAAAAGGAAAAGAAACTACAGGTTTTCTCGCTCACTTTAATCCAAGTGCCAGCTTAAATAATCTGCATGCCATTGAAATAATCTGAGCGCCAACCTCTTTTAATTAATGTGCCAAACATTGAATGCAAGCCCCAATATATTTAATCCAAGCGGCAACTCAGTTCGGCCGTGTGACGGTGAATTTAATCCAAGTGCCACCTTGTTTAATTCAATTGTCAATGACTTCAATTCAGGTGCCAGTTTGTTTATTCCATGCACAAAAAGCATAATAGATACAGGGCCTTAAAATGGCAGTGGAATTGAAATGCAGTTCCTACAATATAAAAGACAATAATTGGAAGGTAGAATAAATCATTATTATTGGTATTCGCCGCTAGTATTCATGACAAAAAAGTTACTGCAGCGGTTCCCTTGAGCCGCGTTTGGAGTGCGTATACTTTCCTATGTACAAGTTTGTAGATGAGTGCTTGGCCCGGGTGGAGTTATTTTAATCGCAACCAAAGAAAAGGCAGGAACATGTCAACAAATATTTCGTGTTCGTCGAAAAAGCTCATAATGGGATTTGTATAAAATTACATGACCGGGCCAGGTCATGTAATGCAAAAGACCGAATATGAATATTGGAGTGCCGGAATGCATACCAAGATTGCAGTGGGCAGTGATGAGTCAAAAGCAGGTACATGCTCAATAAATTAGGGGGCCCTCACAGGGCAGAGCGAATTATAAATAATTCGAACAGGTTTTCGTCCTTCAGTGCGCATAAGATGTGAACTCATGATCCTGACGTGAAAAACGAAAGTGATATTTTACATTGTCAGTCATCGTTGTTCTCACAGGGCTGGGCAAACAACTGCGAATGAATGCCTCAGCGAATACGTAGCCAAATGCCATCTGCTAACCAGAGGACACAAATCTATGCATATGCGATGGTGTATATTGTTAGCCGGAATAATGCAGTAGTGATGAAGCATAGACTAACATGGACTCAAGAGGAAATACATTTAGTACCTGTAAATGCGATTAATACATACTGTTTCTTTTTATCTTGAAGCTATGACACCAAGACGTTAGGGAGAAATAGCACTGCGCACTTCATTTTATAAGCGCTAGCGTCTACAGACAAGAGAAAAGTTCTTCCTGTGGCTTCAAGTTTAGATTATTCTGACATTTATACTGTATAAAGTGGCAAACTATGTGTTTTTAGTGCGTGGATTGAACTGACTGTCACTTGAATTAGAGTCAATGGCAATTGGAATAAAACAGTGGCACTTAGATTAAACTCACTGGCACGCAGCCTCATTGAGTTGGCACTTAGAATAAATATATTGGTGCTTGGATTAAATGTTTGGCACATGGATTAAATAGCTCGGTGCTCAGAATATATCAATAGCGTGTAGATTATTGCAAGCTGGCACGCGGATTAAAGGGAGCTGGAAAACCTGTAGAAGTTGCTGTTAAGAAATTGACAGCTACAGCAGGCTCATATGCAGTAAAGGCAGAGATTAGCGACTTGACGTGCATCATAAATTCAAACAACCTTAAAAAACTTTCAAGACCAAGCAGTAGGAGATTGTTGATATTGATATGAAAATTCAGAAAAAGCAACAAGGCATTGCATAATAAGTGTGTCTTAGTTTTTCCTATTTAAATAAATGTTTGCAACTGTGTCATACTGAAAGTGATTACTTAATGTGAAAGTGATTGAGCTATGGATTGAAAGTTATCTAGCCAGAAAATATCATTGGAGCCATGTTTTGCATGTCTGCACCAGTGGTGTTACCCTTTTTCGATTAATTCTATTTATTTCAAGTGTTTTTCATACCCTGAACACATGTTTATTGGGTTTCTAACATACAATGTGGTTCTAGAAAATTTGCACACATAGCCTTGGAAGTCCTTGAAAACCCTTGAAATTTGATCATGCAAACGAGCATGAACGCTGGTGTGTATGTGTTTCTACACACATACCCCCGATGTTCTACTAAGTGAAAACTGGCACAATTTCGTTAAACTGGGAAACTTTTAACTCCAACCAAATTAAATTACACGGAGTGCAGGGAAGGAGAGGTTCGCGTAATTGTGGACGTCAGACAAAAACGAATACCCGCCGCGCAGAGCAACAGAAGCTACGGAAACACCAATCAGCATTGATTGGCAGCCCTCTTAAATGCTTACCAGTCTCATACATACAAAGCACAATCGAGGTGTTGGCCAGGACCTTCAAAAAAAAAAAAGGGGGTGCGCATCGCGCACATGCCTTCATGCATGCTGGGCCGCCTCCTCGCCCACTGAAAAGTCCAATCAAAAATAGGCTGAACTCCCATGTGTCATGCATCGAACTTCGTGCGCAGAGTTTCTTTGTTTGTATAATGGTGAGAGGAAACACCTACTGTCACGACTCAAACAACACGCCAATCACGTTCGTAAGCTGAACAAAGAACGCAGCACGCCACCGAGCATAGCGAGACGTTTGACCACCAGATAAATTTCAATGAAACGACTAACCTGGAAAGCAAGACTAACTAGTGGAGAAGGCAGCTACTCGAGTCATGTCAACAGCCCAAAACATCAATCCCTTTCTCAGAACCTTTCTTCGTTATGTGCTGATAAACTACGCTTTGCGGCAAAACATGGCATCATTAACTCTTTCGTTACTGCGCAAAAATGGTTGTTTTTCCTATGTCTCAGTAAGATCATTTTTGCCAGTTTGAAAAGTACTCAGGCATGCATTGCAGCATGCCAAATTTTGCGCAATAAAATGCTCTTTCCAAAATATATAAGTTGTAGAGCAACAAAAATATTTTAGGATGAGTGAAAAATGTTAAAAGTGTGAAATTTTCGCTTGCGAGCTGGTTAACAGTGCAATAAAAGCACTATATGCGCAAAACTACTCAAAACAACGAAAATTCAGAATATACATTTTGAAGATAAATGACCCATGAGCAGTATAAAACTAATACATATTGTAGAAAGTCTTTCTATTCACACAGACAAAGAAAATCAGGACCGAGGTTTGGCTTCATTGCTTGTCCCATACGGTGAAGCATCGCCAGGTTTTTTGTGAGACACAAGTGAACTTGTACACTTCTCTCAGTATATGTTTATTTTCTTGCGATAAAAGCCTGTAGGTGTTACAATACAGATGGATGCCCGTAAGGTAAATGATCCCTCTATAAATCAGATGTCCAATGAAATTCGCTATCGTGTTTACCGTAACCTCTTTCTATGAGCCACCTCACTCCGCTTATGTTGGCGTTCCAATGTATGCATCCAAGCACGGTTCTCAGCGTTTTGCACAAAGTATTTGTACAAAAAGGCAATATCGTGCACAACTATGAAACATTTTGCGCTGCTCCTAGTCGGCCAAGATATGCTCCGGTGGCCGGCTTGTGAGGAGAAGCATAGGTAGCCAATGCTGAGCACACCATGCCCCAGCGACGTGTTGATCTCGCGCGTAGTCTGAGTAGCTATTGAATTGTGTACAAAGGGCAGTAGCTATACACTTGAGGCGGAGTAGACAACTTGTGGCCATGAACAAACCGGACTCATAAATGGCTGTGGATGTCTCAAGCTGACGCAAAACATCCTCGCCGCTAAACTTGAAGCTGAGGCGCTGTCATTCTTTAACTCTAAGCTCGTCCTCCCTCAATTCAGGTGGGATTATAAGGCATTTTCGAGCAGCGCGTGGGTATTGCAGCTCTGGGGTGCACCTATGTGCGTTTGACGACAACGCCATATAGAGTGACCAGTGATGCTAGATGCGACCCTGTGTCTCATATAACAGTACAAGCAAAACCACAGCTACTGAAAACTACCTGAAAAGGCCTACTCGATACTATAAATATGTAGCGAACCTTTAAACATATTGTTTTTTGTAAAATAAATTTTCTCTGACTTATAGCAACAGCTCTCTATCAAATAGCTGGCATAAATTTCCGGCAGTAGTTACTGCTCAACACTGTCAAATCGCACAGCTGACACTTTAATTTGATATTTGGCTTGCAAAGGTTCTTTTCATTGCATAACTTCGATGTTACTGTAGCATAATCACGAGAGAGACACAGTTTTGTCAAGTTTGCCAGCCAGCGCACTTTTCCAACAATACACACACATTGGTTCATGCAAATGTCTGTCAAAGATCACTATGTTGCTAAAACGGGCAATTCAAATTTATTC